AAATTGAGATTTGATTAAGCAAAAACTTTTGATTAAGATTTTAAAAACCAAAATCAATACTGAAGTATATATTATTTTTTGCTTCGGTTAACTAAATTTTTTTGTTAATATAAGTTTGATTTTAGTTTTAATCAATAATTATCAAATATAAAAATAAAATTAAAAAATATTAAATAAATGAGAGTAAGATCTGAAATTTTATTTTTTTATTTTTAAATATATTTTAAATTCAAAACTTTTATTATAATAAAATTTATAGAGTAATATTTGAAAAAGTGATTGAATAGAATGAATTATACATATATATATATAGAGTATTTAAATTATAATTATTTATTTATTAATATGCTAATTTATTTTTTGGTCATATATTCAATTTTTGGGTTTTAGATTTAGACCCCTTACCAATAATCAGCTGAATTTTTTTATTATAACCAAAACCCAAAAAAAAAAAATCAATAACCAAATACCTCTTACCATTTAATTATTTTTAAATTAATTTTCAATTGACCATCCTTAATCAACCATTTGGCCACCCCTATTCCACATATATACATTTTTTTTTAGTACAAAATCCAAATATTTTATTTGGGAGGACTGCAATCTTCTTATTTTTTGAAAAGACAACCCATACAATCTTTTCCCTCCTCTCTCCAAATTTCTTTTTCTTTTGCCGACGAAATAAGACGCCATTAACCTCCAAAGTCCAAACGCTCTCTCACTCTCTCCCCACGACGGTGGGAATCTCAATGCAAGACTTCTTCGGGTCAGTTCGCCGATCGCTGGTCTTCCGTACAACCCCGGAGAACCCAGAAAACGACTATAGCCCACCCTTGCCATTGCCAACTCCGACGGCCTTAGTGGAGAAGATCAATTACTGCATTCGGAAGTCGCGGGTCTTCACCAAGCGCACTTCACCTTCGCCTCCCATGGTACCTCCGATCCGATGGCGCAAAGGCGAGTTGATCGGGTGCGGTGCGTTTGGGAGGGTTTACATGGGCATGGATCTTGATTCTGGAGAGCTTTTGGCAGTCAAGCAGGTTTCATTTTTGTTTTAGTCTATTGTCTTTTTGTCGGTGTGGTGTATAGTTTGTGATTCTAGGTCCTCATTATGGTTATTTTTAATTGTAGCTGTGGCGTTGAATTCATGTTAATTGAATTTTATGTTTACTTCTATTGAGGTTTATTTGGGGTTCTTCTCTTTGGTTAAATTCGGTTAATTCTGGGTTATAAGCTACTCTAAGTTGTACATTATTGACTTTGATGGATTAGTTTTTTGGTTTTGATTCTGACTTCAGAGGGCTCTGGAATTTTTGGGTGGACTATAATATCAAATTTATTACTACTTGTTATACTTGTTTGTTTATTGCTTTTGATTGGTTTGAAGTGACTTAGTTGTTCCTTTTTGGAATTTTGTTCAGGTCCTGATTGCAGCTAAAGGTGCTTCGAAGGAGAAAGCACAGGTTTGAGTTTTCTACTAATTTTTGTCTTGCCAGTCTATTGTTAAAACTTAAAACTACTATGACTATGACATATGCAATTCATGGTGATGATTTGGACATTCTATGTGGTTGAACCTTCAAATTGTTCTGTTAGTCTTCTTATGGAAATATTGTTCTGTTTGTTGTTTTGGAATGTTTGCATATATTATGATTGGTATATCTTTTGCTGTTGCTTTTTTTGGTTTAATGAGGAATTGTCATAATGTGGTGGGGTTTGCTAATTGTGAATAAGTAGGCTAATGTTAAGGAGCTCGAGGAAGAAGTGAAGCTACTTCAGAAGCTCTCACATCCAAAAATTGTTGTAAGTAATAATTGTAACATCCTGACTATCTGTTGAATTAGTTTTGCCTGTCTCTTTTTTGATTGTGTATATTATTTTGAATCTTTAGAGATATTTGGGTACAGTCAGAGAGGATGAAACATTGAATATTCTGCTTGAATTTGTACCTGGGGGATCAATATCTTCACTTTTGGGAAATTTTGGACCATTCCCCGAATCTGTAAGTCTTTGCTATCTGAAATTTGTCAGTGTAAGGTGTCTAATTTGTAAATTCTTCATATTAATATATCAAGCAGGTTATAAGAACATACACAAAGCAATTATTGGTGGGACTTGAGTATTTACACAACAATGGAATCATTCATCGGGACATTAAGGTACCTTTTCTTCTTTTGCGTTAATATTATATATATTCTTCTTTTGTGCATTAATAATATTTCTGTGTGTGTGGATAAAGGTCTTTTATCTCTCACCCTCTGGAAGGTAATGTATCCCACCCACCCATTTTCAGGGAGCAAACATTCTGGTAGATAATCAAGGATGCATAAAACTTGCAGATTTTGGTGCATCCAAACAGGTTGCTGAGCTGGTAATCTCTACCTGCTCAATTTTTTATGTGATTAATAACTTTCTCCAAGTTTTAGAATTGCCTTTCCTATAGTACTTTATTCACTCTAACTCTGATATTATTATTATTGAAGGCTACTATTTCAGGTGCCAAGTCCATAAAGGGTACTCCATATTGGATGGCTCCTGAAGTCATCTTGCAGACTGGGCATACCTTGTAACTCTTAACTTTGCTTCTAAATTTTGATTACTTTTGCATATGCATTCATTTCTGATGCTTAGTGTTTAGTAACTACTTCCATTGGAGGGATTTTCCTGGATGATAAACATTGCCTTTTTATCAATTGAGCTATTAACCATTTAAATTCAAAAACTGAACCTTACTGGTGCATTGTGGATTTGATTCTCCAGTTCTGCTGACATGTGGAGTGTTGGATGTACAGTAATTGAGATGGCTACTGGAAAGCCCCCTTGGAGCCAACAATACCAAGAGGTGACTCCTTTTTATAACTCTAAACATTCATTTTTTCTATCTTTCAACATGAAATTCCTAACGAAATCCTCTTTCAGGTTGCTGCTTTGTTCTATATAGGAACAACAAAGTCTCATCCACCCATTCCTGAGCATCTTTCTGTTGAGGCAAAAGATTTCCTCCTAAAATGTTTGCAAAAGTATACTTACTGCCCCCCTCTCTGTATGTGCTTGTGTGTTTCATGGTCTTAGTGTTCGATTTATTTTGCAGTTACCTTGGAGAAAATATAATGATTAACCTTTAGCCTGGATGAGTTACATGTCAATTATAATTTCCTTTTCTTCTTTCTGAATTTGGTTTCTGCATTGTCAGGGAGCCAAATTTGAGGCCAGTAGCAGCTGAACTGCTTAAGGTAATTCTAAATTAACTACACATTTTACTTAATCAACTGGGCAATGTCTGCAGTCACAGTAAAACTTCTCAAATTTGGCTCAATGAAACATGAATGACTGCCAAAAAACTGATTTGGTTTTAACAATGCATAGTATTTTTTATTTTTCAATTTCATGCAGCATCCCTTTGTTTCTGGGGAACATGAAGAGTCCACTCTTGTTGTTCATGATCAAGTTGTGGTTAGCACTTAGCACACTTGAACTGGATGTTTTAACATTTGAATATTTGGTTTTTCCTTTAAATATCTTTGTAACAGAGAAATTACTGTTTCATCAGGAAGATTCTGAAATTCCATCACCATCACATGCACAAAATCAGAGAGACCTGTGAGTTCAAATTGTTTTGTTTGAACTTGTAAATTATGATTGTGATGCTTGAAACAGTCTTTCACTAATAGCATGATTTTCTTTCCAGTCAAGAAGCATCTATCTGTAATCTGGGTAGCTTGAACCATTCAACTTTGTATGCTGAGAAAATTTTAGAAAGCAAGGGCATATGGAGAACAAACAACGGTGATGATGATATGTGTCTGATTGATAATGAAGATTTTGCAGCAATTGAGGAAAAAGTTGGCTCTCCTAATATGTTTGATAATATTAGTAAGGTAGGTAATTTCCCAGATAAGTTTCCTGGTGGTTCAGGTGTATTTAAATTATCTAAAAGCTTCACTTGTTTAGGATCTTTACAACTTATTATGTTTCAAATTTCAATTAGAGTTCTCTCCCTGCATGTGGGCTTTCTAATGATTGGAGGAAAATTGATGGAAGTCCTATACAGAACCAAGAAGAAATGTCACATAAGACTGCTAGTTGTCCCAGCGTCTGTGATGAGGGGAAGAATGAGTTTTCATTTCCTTGTGGACAATCTTCTCTCTGTGAAGATGATGATGTACTTACTGAATCAAAAATTAAAGCACTTCTAGATGAGAAGGTAGTGGTATTGGCCTTTCTGTTAACCATTTTGCAGCTTTGTTTTAAATTTGGCTTCATGTCAGATTGTTGTGAGATCTAAACTGGATTTAATGTCCAGGCTTTAGAACTAAAGAAATTGCAAACACCTCTATATGAAGAATTCTACAACAGTCTGAATGTAGCCTGCTCCCCACGTTTTGCTGAGAATACACATGAAGAGACTCATCCAAATTACTTAAAATTACCTCCCAAAAGCAAGTCACCAAGTCATGGTGCCATTGGAAGCCCATTGGCAATGGTTGATGCTGTCAGTACCGGAAGTCCAGGAAGTAGCAGCAGGTGTGTTTCTATTGTTGACAATGCTACTGATCAGACGTTGCAGGAAAATTCATCCCACCAGCAAAGTGATTGGAAAGCACTTCCAGTTGATGCCCAGCAGGAATCAATTAGCCCAAGGTTATTACATTTATTGATTTCTTTTTCTTTCCATGCCCTTACACTTCCGCTATAGTAAGGCCAAAAAAAAAAAGCTCAAATGGAATATTTTGCTACTCACAGCTTGAGCTTTTCTGAGAGACAAAGGAAGTGGAAAGAAGAGCTTGATCAAGAGCTTGAGAGAAAACGAGGTATATATTATTTTTGCTTGTCTGTTCAAGAAACCTTGCCTTCTGGATGGGTTGATACGAATAGACTCAATTCTAAAAGAAGATTTACTGCTCTGGCACGTCAACATATCTGAAATATTTGATCTTTAATTAAAGTCTTGCAATTGTGTTGCCACAAGACTGTAGAAGAAATGAAGTTAGTAAATTTCATGAATACATCTTCTCCAGGAAGTAAATTTGCTTTGAGATAGGTCGTGATGTTTACTTGCTTTCAGATTTCTATTATTGATTGCATAATTGTAAATCTCTGTTTGCAGAGATGATGCGCCAGACAGGTGCGGGTGGAAAAACATCATCCCCAAAAGATCAAGCCTTGAAACGGCAGAGAGAGAGAACAAGGTTTGCATCTCCACGCAAATGAGTGAATGCCAGAGGGCTTATATACAGCTTCTTAAAAGGACTTATACTTTCCCAATTAGAGTTTATGACACCAGTTAAACTGGCTTTTGATGAAAGCAGCAGCGGAATGACATCCCATACTTCCATGCAATTTCTCATTGTTCTGCGAAGAAAAGTTCCGTTGTATCTTCTATAGGCTAAGTATTCTGAAGAGCGAGGGTGCTTGAAGAGATGGACAACTTTTCTGTCTTTTTTTATTTTTCCCTTATTCTTTTTCCCCTTTTGGGTGATTCCAGGGGTGTTGGAGGAGTTTCTCCAGTTTGCCTTTGTATAATAATAAACATAATGAGATTGAGATATGAAAATACCTGTGTAAATCATATACAAGTTGTTCCATCTTCCCTGTACTTTAACAGTCAGCCAATTGGACCCTTTATTTGGAATCTCAACTAATAAAGGTTCTCCCTCTATACATCTAGAAACTAAAGTTGGAGGAATAACAAGACTTACAATCTGTGACTCGGAGATTTATTAAAACAGCGGAAATCCAGGGGAAAAAAACAAACATGAAGTTTCAACAAACAGCAATCCGTTTTCGAACAAGAGAGAGTTCCTGGGAAGAGCAAGAACATCCGGTACTTCTGGGAGAAGAATACACTTGTGTTTCATAGAAGCAAGTCCAGTTTGAAAGGCATTATAGGGGGAAAGTGACTACAGAGAGACATTCAGTACAATAAATTAACTATGGACACTGAGAAAAATTATCTTGAACAGTTTCTCAACTTTGAAAGCCCTTGTGAGAAACAGATGGGAAAATTCAGAGGCCATTCATTCTCCCTGTTGAGAATCGCATAGGCATTGCCGTAGGGCGCTGCTTCAATCTAGTTATGGGTCCACTTTTGTCTATGCTCTGTCTTCTGCTCTTCAATGGGGACACCAATTTATTAGCTAGTCGTGAAGGCGAGAATGATCTTCTCAGTTTTGAAGCAGTAGACAACCTTGGTGACTTCTTGCTAGAGATTGTTCGTCTAGGAGGAGAAAGAGACACCACCGGTGGGCATTTGATCTTCGCTTGAAACTTTGAAGCTGATGGAGGAGACTTGATCAAGAACTTATGTGGGGTTCCTCTGTTTCTTGCAATCACCGGAGACCTTGTCTTGCAAAACCTCTGCTGCTGTGTAGATGATGTTGAATGAAACAGGGGATTTGGGAACAGAACAGTCTTCTTAGCCCATGGCTTGTTCCTTGGTGAAACCCTGTTTGCCAAAAACCGGTTGTTTTCTTTCTCAAGTTCTTTTATTTTCAAAGGAGAAACCTTGAAATTAATCCGGGAACGAGCCCTTTGAAGGGATGGGGAATCAGATTCTGATCTCATCGATTGTAGCTTGTTCTGCTTCTCCCTTCTTCTTCTAGTTCTGAGTTCTGTGTCTTCCAGCTGTGGTCTTTGTTTCCTCTGTTCTGTCTCTGGCGTCTTCGGATCCTCCGGAGCTATTTTCTTGGATTTGTTAGCAACTGCTGCCACTATATCTCTTGTAAACTGAGTTGCTTGAAGGATTTCCCCCACTGTTTCGCCAACTAACATCGCTGGTAAAGACATCCTCTTCCATTCCCCTGTACTTGTTGGAAACTTCCCAACTGGAGATTTCCTACCGGTAGAATTCTTGATCCTTCAGAACAATACACAAAGTAAAAATAGAAACCATATTAGTAAGCAGAAGCAGAACTAAACATCAAAAGCTCAGATTACTTTAGCAGATTGGAGATTTTCTTGATGCTTGAAATCAAAAAAAGGAAAGTGAAGAAGAACCCATTTGAGTGCACAAAACCAAACTTAAAAACCATTAAAAAAAAAAAAAAAAAAAAAAAAAAACAAGGAAGGGAAGGTCAGATTTTTAGCAGACCTCATAGATTCTTGTTTGCACCTGAGACTCGTCTTCAAGTAACCTCTGGTACTCCTAGGACTGAGACTCACCCCTGATATCACCTTTGTGCCGCCTGCAACTGTGTACTGTAGCTCTTGCAATCTTGCCATACATTTATCCACCTTTAGAAAACCCAAGTAAAACTCATCAGTTCCTGCTTGGTTGCTAAGAAAATGAAGGCAATTTGATAGAATGCAGTATAAATATTAAGAACCTGGAATGAATTTGAAATATAAAGTTATTGGCCCAACTCTGAATTTTAAAAAAGCCCTACCTTCTTGAGGGTTTCTCTGAGAAGAACAGGGTTGAGAGGAGCCAACATTCTCCTCTGCTTTGGTGGGGTTCTTGCAACCATGATTGTGAAAGAAAGGAAAATTGGAAAGAAAGCACGATGTGGGTCTGAAAGAAGTCGAGCTCTTCCGCTCCTCCCCACTGTTTCTCTTTCTCTCTCTAAATACCCATATGAAGCAGGAGAGTAGTAAATCTGGGTTTGCTTCGGTTACTGTTTCTCTCTCTAAAACTCATAGCTTTAACTCTCTCTCTCTCTCTCTTATCGGCGGAAAGGAAAGTGAAGGCTCATCGGAGGGCTTGAAGAAAGGGGATAACGGCTCTTTGTGTCCCAACGGTCAAAAACGCACGCGAACGGCTAGTTTCATTTTTCAAACTATATATATTATTTTTTTTCGTTTTCCTTTTAGATGGAATCATGGAAGAGACGAGAGCCGTTGATCAGATGTAAATCATATTGAATCATACTGCTTCTGTGCTGTCTTTGACTTTCGATCCCTCTCTTTTTATTCGACTTTATTTAATTATGATAACGCTAAAATATAGTTTATTAACCAATCAAAAATATAAAAAAATACCAATAAAAAATAAAAATTATATTTTCTTGTGAGGAAAAGGCTTGAATACTTGAATGCTTATATTGGGATTGGGGGGTACAATTTTACCACAAATTATCAGAATACTCTTGTGGTCTCAAAATGTTGTTATATATTAATTAATCATAGGTCTCTGTCACTGACAAAAACTATACCGTTTTACATAAAATTTTGTGATTTTATTTTAAGATTAGATTGAATAATTAGTTTTGGCTTTAAGGAGTTTGATTTTTAAAAAATTATTTTTTATAAAATATTTTGCAAAGTTAAGCGATGAATCAATCCATCTATTTATTTATTTAGATCTTGTATGTTTAATTTTTTTAAAAATATGGTTTATAAATTAAGGTTAACATCTTATTTTGATCTTTTTAGTTTAATAAAAAAATTTCGTTTTAGTTATTTTATTTTAAAAAATTACTTTTTATTCCTTAAAATATATTATTTGATCTAATTTTAGTCTTTTTGTTATCATTTTCCATACGTGACATGACATGATGAGAATTTCAAAGTAAAAAAACTACAAAAGGACTTTTTTTAAGTAAAGAGGCAAACGAGGTTTTTTTTTTTTTTTATTCCTTTTTAGTTTCTTTATTTTGGAATTTTAATTATTTAACATATCATGTGTATAAAAAAATAATAATGAGACTAAAAAAGGATCAAATAATAAATTTTAAAGACTAAAAAGGATTTTTTAAGTAGATAGACTAAAAAAGAATTTTTTTTATTATAGTGGAGGAACCAAAATGAAGTTTTGATTATAAATTAATATCATTTTCACCCATTAAAATAGTTTAGTGATAATTTCATTTTATTGAAAATAAGAATTTTTAAATTTAAATCATATGACAGGCAAATGAGGTGGGTTAATGAACAAGAGTATTGCCTCTCTTAGTGCAATCTAAAATAAAAAAGAAAAAAGAAAAAAATATGTAAATCAGAATATAAATTTTGTTACTTTTTCTATTTAATCTTACTAATTTTGTTCTATTTTGATTAAAATTGTTATTTGTCATGTTACCATCGCTATTGAATAAATTTTTAAATAGAAAAAACAACAAATTCATGTCTTTATTTAAAAAAGTAACAATTTATTATCTAATTTAAAAATTCAAAAAATTTATATTTTAAAATGAAAAAAAAAGAGAAAAAAAATTTATATTCTTATATGTACATTTTCTTGCTAAAAAGTTCACTCATGAGGAAAAACAGTGGTGAATCTTGCATCAATAGTTGGGCAGGGCCTATGACAAAGATTGACAATTCAACCAAGAATTGAGTGAGCCGCAGAGTGGTTGGCCTTGGTCACCCGCTGACCCAACTGCTGGGGTATGGGTTCTAATACTCTTAACTATATTCCCTCCTCCCTAACCCAAGGAAAAAAGTACCCTGGATAAGTGTATTAAAAATAAAATAATTTAGTGGTATTTTTTTTTAATAAAAATAAAATATTATGAATTTGAACCTTATGATATATATATATTAAATAAGTTAAAAAATAAAAAAAGATTACATATGTCCTCTATTATACAATCTAAAATAATAAAAAAAAAAAACTCAAAAAATACCATTGCCGCATTTTGCTGGTTCAAATGTAAAAGTCCATTTTATCCCTCAAATATCTAAAAGAATTTATATTTATATATAAAAGATAAAAAAAATTATATTTAGTAAATTAGCGTGAATTAGAAGTATGACAATAACATTACTCCCTTTCAACACTCACAAGTCACAACATAATTAGTCCAACATGGCATGTACTTTTGCATTATTAGTCCGTAGATGATTTTAAATATGCCAATGATAATGCATAACAAATAAATATGCTGCATAGAGGAATCACATAATAAAAATGCTAAAAGGTAAAAGAGACTGAAAGTTAAGTAGAAATTAAGTGAAATCAGGATATTTTAATAATTAAAATGTTAAAATTATTACTGGAATTATTAAAATAGTTTTAAATAAATTTTCTTTGTGTTATTGTAATTCATTAAAAATATTTAAATTTTTTTATTATTAGGCTTGAAAATTTTTTTTGATGGAATTAAGGTTGACATTTTAAATATCAAGACAATGTGATTTTTAATTTTCCTCCTCTAAAAAATAGCCTAAAAAATGCCAAAAAATATTTTATAGTTATGTATCCAATAATATATGTTTTATATAATAATTTAATACAGATGGTAAAACAGTAGACTAACAAATAAATATGGTAGTCAATGGGCGGAGCGTACAAATAGTGGGCCGGAGCTCCAGTTAGGCTCCGCAGTGATAATCTGGACCAAGAACCTGTATTCTGTTCTTCGCGGTTCCCCGACCAGTAACCCGAGTCTAAATCCAAATACCCGACTTTGCGCTCCATTAACACCAAACATAGCCGTTAAACAGCCCTCTCAATCGAAAGGCGGAGATTCAATTCAATTCAAATTTGATATCAAAGCAAAAAGTGCGAAAAACCCTACCGCTTCATCCCTTCTTCAAAAACACTCGCTCCTCCAGCTCTTAAATCCTCTTCTTCTGAATCTTCTCGTTCAGATTTCTGCACCTTCGAATCTCACAATTTCTCTTACAAATCTCAAAATGCTTCTGAATCTCGACGCCATGAACGGTACTCTCTCTTCGCATTTCTGATTTCTCGTTCATTTACAATCCCGGTGATATTACGGCGCTTTATTTTGTCGGAAATTTGTGGTTTCTTTCAGATCAATCCGTCGGAGTGCCGCCGGAGGACAGCACTCGCTTCCTTTCCGGTTGTGATTCGAACCCTGCTCTGAATCCCGAAACAGGTTAGTGAGCGATGACCTTGGTTTTCTTTATTTAAAGAAAGTATCATAAGATTTTGATGAAAGGATTGTGCCTTCTGAATTTATTCTTAGGCTTCGATTTGGTTAGCTTATACTTTAATTTGGAGAAGAAATTAAAAATCTGGAGTATCTGGTTCGGTTTTCCGTTATGAACCCTAGAAGTTGCAAAAGGGGATTTTCATTCTTCAATTCTGTTTTCTTTCTTTCTTTCTTTCTTTTTTTATTTTTTATTTTTTCAAAGATAGAGTTTATAGTCCTTTTTGCCTATTCTTTTGCATAATTTTTTAGTTATTCCGCGGTATTTCTGTTTTAATTTCATTCAAGAGCACTAAGCGCACAATATCTCGAGCCGCTTGTATTGCTGAGGAAACGTGTGTTTATCCTCGAGCCGATTTGCCTAATTTTGTGCATTTGTATGTTTGCTTCTGCGAAGAAGTAAAGGGAACGAGAGTTTATCATATATAGTTATTCTATGTTTGTTTTTGATTGTGACTCTAGAATTAAATGAAGGCACTGGCAAACCTGTGGATGGGGATATTGTATCCAACACGGACCGGGAAATTTCCTTTGATCAAGAGCCCACACTACCAATATTGCAAAAAATTATGGATTTGAGCAATAATATTCAGGTAAGAATTATCCTTTATCTATGGAGTTTTTATCTTATTTCTTTTGGTTGTCTGGAAGAGATTGTAGCTAATACCTTTTGTTGATTGGTTTCAAAAATATTTTAGTACAGAGTACACCAATCATCAGATCAAATGGATTATAGTTGTTTTTGCCTTGCTTGATATCTAACATTTGGGTATCTTTCCATAATATTTGATCCCTTTTTTGTGGACTTTTAATTCTTGCTGTCCTAGAATTTGAAGAAAGAGCACATATTTCTATCCAGTCAAGTAAAGGACATGAAAGCAGATTCCATTCTTGGTCCTGAAGTTTTAGACACTCTTAAGCATCTCAGTGAGTGTTGAATTTGGTTGACCAGTTTTCATTTTCCATGGATTTGTTTTTCTACGAACATTTTTCTTTTGTATTCTTACTGTTGGCGTTTTTGGGTGTTAGATAATCAGTATGAACTTTTAAAGAATAAGTACCTACAAGAGTACTCTGAACGGAAACGACTTTACAATGAAGTAATAGAGCTCAAAGGGAATATAAGGGTTTTCTGCAGATGTAGACCCATAAACCAAGTTGAGGTTACAAATGGCTGCACTTCTGTAGTTGAATTTGATCCATCACAAGAGAATGAGCTGCATATTATCTCGTCAGATTCTTCCAAGAAGCAATTTAAGTTTGACCATGTTTTTGGGCCTCAGGATGGCCAAGGTAAATGCTATGTTGTAATTGATTTCATACAGTGAAAATTTGCTAATGATTTATTCTTCTTTTTGAGTATCTAATCCTGTGTTTTAAAATTATGCAGAGGCAGTTTTTGCACAAACTAAACCTATTGTCACTTCTGTTTTGGATGGCTATAATGTCTGCATATTTGCATATGGGCAAACTGGAACTGGAAAGACCTTTACAATGGAAGGAACACCTGAAAATAGGGGAGTGAACTATAGAACTTTGGAGGAGTTATTTAGGATTTCTGGAGAGAGAAGCAATTTCATGACTTATGAGATCTACGTTAGCATGTTGGAGGTTTACAATGAGAAGATACGGGATCTCTTTGTAGAAAATTCTAACCAGCCTCCCAAAAGGTAAGTTTTCCTTGGCTCATTTTCTTTATCAGCTGTTAATTTTATAAGCTGCTGAGGAGGCATTGTAGTCAAGTATGTTTACAATTATTGTAGCGCCAAAGCTTGGTGGAAATTTGTTCATAAAATTGGACTATTATTAGATTCAGATTTAAGAAGTATATGTAGTCATGGAATAGAATCATATTTCATTCAGCTATGGTTAAAATGTTAGAAGACAAATTTAAGCGTTTTAAATCATCATCATTGCAACTTAAATCATAGGATGATGAAGTTTCTAGAGAGTCACTAATTAATATTTTCTTTTACATGGATGAAGACTGGAGATAAAGCAAGCAGCAGACGGAACCCAAGAAGTCCCAGGACTTGTAGAAGCTCGTGTTTATGGTACAGAGGAAGTCTGGGAACTACTCAAGTCTGGAAGCCGAGTCAGATCTGTTGGATCTACCAATGCAAATGAACTTAGCAGCCGCTCCCACTGGTAACTTTCAATCTTTTAAAATCTTATTACTGTTCCATGTTTTGTTACAAATTGGGGTAATTCATTCTCGATTCTATTCTTTTCTTACGTCATCTACTTAAAATGCCGAGGTACTTCTAACGAGGAAATCAGAGAATATATATGAACAACATTATGATGAGAGAACCTGATTTCTCCAAGCGGCTATATTTTCTGATAGTAATCAAAAAGACTTTTCTTGTGTAGCTTATTGCGCGTGGCTGTAAAGGGACAGAAGACAAAGAGTCACCTCTGGCTTGTAGATTTAGCTGGTAGTGAACGTGTTGGAAAGATTGAAGTTGAAGGCGAAAGGCTGAAGGAATCTCAGTTCATTAATAAATCACTCTCAGCTCTTGGTGATGTGATCTCTGCCCTTGCATCTAAGACAAGCCACATTCCGTATAGGTTTATCCTCTCTCTCTCTCTATCTCACACACAAAAAGTAGGAAAAACGCAATTATTCTTATATTCACTCACCCAAAAAAAACAAGAAAAAAAAAGGAAATAAATATTATTCTTCTATTTGCTTATTAAATCTAATAAGATTTATTTCTATTTGAAATCAGGAACTCAAAGCTCACCCATTTGCTGCAAAGCTCTCTCGGTAATTTTTTATTCCCGTTAAATATAAGGGTTTAATGGTTCTAATGTGGCTGAGTGATTTTATGTTTACTTAGCAATTGATGCCTGTTGGACCAAAAATTGCAGGAGGAGATTGCAAAACCCTGATGTTTGTTCAGATCAGCCCGAGTACTGCGGACTTAGGAGAGACCCTCTGCTCGCTAAACTTTGCCAGCAGAGTTCGAGGAGTTGAAAGCGCTCCTGCTCGCAAACAGGCTGATGTTACTGAGCTTCTGAAATACAAGCAAATGGTACGCAAATTCAAGGCTTGAGGAAATTATTCATTTGTTTACATTTTCTGTATTGTCTGAAATTGCTGCCCGCTGAATTCTGAGGATTAACAGGCAGAAAAGCTAAAGCATGATGAGAAAGATACAAAGAAGTTGCAGGATAATTTGCAGTCCTTGCAGTTAAGACTTGCTGCCAGAGAACACATATGTAAAAATCTCCAAGAAAAGGCAAGTCGCAGAATTTCTTTAAATAGTTGCACAATCGGCCTAGTTAATTTAGATGTTTCATTGTCTGTGGTACCATCTAAGAATGTAGAACCAATTTAATGTGGTATTTTACTCATCTCTGTCATACTTAGCTAACATCTTAATCAATAAACCAAACAGGTCCGTGACCTTGAGAATCAGTTAGTTGAAGAAAGGAAAATCAGATTAAAGCAGGAAACCAGAGCATTTGCTTCTGTTTCTATTCAGTCTTCATCTCAAAGACAAGAAACAGAGAAGACTAGAACTGAGAGAAAACCACCATTAGGTCCTTCAAAATTGAGGCTTCCTTTGAGAAGAATTAACAATGCAATGTCCCTTCCATCTCCTGCCCCACCAAAGAAATCTGCCACTACAAAAGGTTTTTCAGTGGCATCAACTGAGGATAAAGAGAACAATATTAGAACCATGATGGCAGCACCTAACAAAAATGCCCTTCTGCAACCAAGACGCATTTCTGTTGCTGTCAGACCACCTCTGCCTTCAACAACAGCAGAGGTTCTTAAACCTAAGAGACGTGTATCCATTGCTACCCTCCAGCCAGAGCCGAGTTTGCAGATGACAACACCGCTCCGTGCCTCTTCTTCTCATTTCCAAAATGGCAGTGCAATCGGCAGACCATCGTTTGTGAGGGACCAAAGGAAAGCACGGTATTCAAGGTTATTCTCTCCTTTGCCAAAATTGAAGAATGCATCAGAGACATCACCAACTATCATGAGAAGCAGCAGCAAATTCATGGGGAGTCCTCCATTACAGCCAGGTTCATGGAAGCCAAAGCATCCTACAGTGGTTGCATTGCAGAGGAAATCATTGGTGTGGAGTCCACTCAAGTTGAAAGGGATGAAAGCTTACAGAAAGTCATTACTATTACCTTCTCGACCTTCAGCTGATATGCAATGAAAAAACACGTGTTTGCACAGCCCCTCAATTGCTCAAACACTTGAACAACAGTAAAATCTTTTACTCGTTTCCTGTGTTTCAGGGTTTAGGATCCTTGTGTTTGCAATTGCAATATATATAATAATTCAAATGCAGATTTTTTTGTTACTACTCGCTCCTATGGCATACAGCTCTTTTGAAAGGGTTTTTCTTACATTTAACATAGGAAGAAGCCGATTTTTGTTTTCCCATGAACTTAGAAAAAAGGTGATACCACCTAACTGCTATACCATTGGTTTACATTTGAGTCATTTGATTATATTTTTATTTATTTGAAATAGAAAAATATTTGGTATTTAATTTTTTTAATAATTTTGAAACAAAAAAGCTTGTAAATTTAATATTTATGTGCATTATTATCTTGGTGTAAATAAATGATAATGTTAACAATTTATTTATGCAAAATTTGATAATTTTTCCCATTTTCAGAAACAAAAGCAATACCACTCTTTAGTTATTATTTTTTTTTTACCACAAAACGGTTTTTTGTTTATACTGGCAGTTTTTATTTTTCTTAAATACCACTGATCACTAAATCGAAAACTGTTTCTATTATACAAAATAATTTTATAAAAATAAAAATAAAAATAAAAGATAAACAAATATTAAATGCATAGATAAATTTTATATATCATCTAATGGCTCAGGCAATTTAACGGTTGGTAGTTGTTAATGGCTGCCCCGACGCCGAGCTGCCTCGGCAGCTGCTGCTTTCCTTCGAAACCCAACACTTTAATCTCAACCACTAACTTCCTCTCGCCTTTCTCTTGCTGCACCATTAATGGGTACCGTGGAATTTCAATGGGAAGAGCTGGTTTTAGCGCAAGAACTTACGCCAAGTTTGATAAGTTCCAAGGAGACCCTTCTCAACCTTATCTTGAAGAGACTGCATCGTCTTCTTTAGAAGCAAAGCAACAAACAGTTCCAGAGGAAGAAGAACTTGAAGAAGATGACAGGTTCAGTTTCTTTTAAGTGTTAGGTTTCTGGGTGTTGATATTTTATGGGTTTCTTCAAACCTTTGTGTCAAAAGCTAATTGCTTTCTTGATGCATATTTAGTTAATGCTCGTTGGGTGGATGCGTGTTGATTTTGTGGAAATTATGAGTTGCTCAATTAACTAGTAAATAAGCTTCAATTATTTGTGTGACATTTCTATGCTTTGAGCCTAAATGGTAATGCAAGTGCAAGCTCTTCCCAAAGAGTAGGGAAAATAGGTTTTAAAGTAGTTGATAACAAAGAAAAATGAAATTTTCAGCAAGACCAAGTGGATTGGAGTGGTAATTTTCAGATACTTTAATCTCATATTAGTTTGCCTTATTTGTTTCGTGTTTTCAGCTGCTTGCCATCTGACTTGGAGGGTGCAGTCAGGCAATCGGGTCAAGCCAGTGCCTTGTTTGTGTCTTCAGGAGGAATGAGAGCTATTGTATGTGCCGATTGCCTAAGAAAGAAACTGACCTTGTGAAAATTAAACTAGTGATGCTTGCTTTGGGTTGATTAAAAAAAAGTGATGCTTGGTTTGGTATTTAAAGGAAAAGGAATATTATATTCTTGCCAAACATAGGATACCTGTTTAACTCCTCCTATCACCTAGGAGAAAATGATGAAAAATGGTTTTAAATTCAATAGACTTATGTTGAAGAAAAAGCAAATGTCAAGCTACTTGTTCTAGCTATGCTAATGAAATCGGAGATCTGACCTTAAAGTTCTTGTAGTTCAAACTTGTTCTCTGATTGGCTATATGAAAGATCAACACAGTTGACTTCTTTTCATCTAATAATGCCAAATTCAGATTTGATCTGGCTGGTGTAAAAGATGTACAATTCAGAGCAAGTTTAGGCTCTTGATATGTGTCAAAATGCATTACTGCTATGTTAAGTGTAACTTCAATCCAGGAAAGTTCATCGGTTGAGATGGAGAAAATGTCAATAAGAAGGTTTTGGTTCTCCCAATAATTTGTGTATATCCATGATTGTTAGGTTAGGTTGCTTTCTGCTCATATAGAAGATAAAATACTACATAATTTCTTCAGGTTGAGCTCTTGATACCCCAGCTACTGTTTCTTGACGATGAAGGTGCCCAAGCTGAGCTCTGGGAACTTTCTCGGATTTTTTTGGATACTCTTATTGAAGAAACAGGGTGTCAGGTTAGCTGGAACTGTTGCTTTATGTTTAATGACCTTAACTCTCTTTCATTCTTTCAAATGCATGAGCATGCCTCAAGACCTGGAGTTTGTGAATAGAAAGTAGAAATCAAGATAAATTTTGCTATCAAGTTTGAGGCATCTACTAGCAATTCTAGAATAGATAAAGTAGTCAGTCTTCTGAATTCTTTTAACATATAGACCTATAAATGGTGATGCCTATAATGCTATTCAATACTCCTGGATCTGTTCGGGAACATATATTGCACAAGAAACATATATAGAATCGGCAGCCAAAGATGGAAGAATCTTTTACTTACAATAATGTGAGTTTTTACTAATTCAATATTTAAGCTTAATTGTGATTCTGGAAATTTTAATTTCAGAAAGTAAAAGCTGTATTTCCAGATGCTGGTGCTGCTGCACTATTAAAATATCGATGGAAAGATGCTGCTTTCAGATTCTCAAGGTAATTGCTTCTATGTCAAAGAAATTCCTCTGAGCATTCAGTTGGCTTGGGCCACAGTTTTGAAATTGGTCTGTCACTTTGTTACCCATTGGGTTCTCTAAAATCTGAAGAGATGGTTGAGTACACTGAAACAGCTTGAAGCTTTAGATGGTGATTTCATTTGCATGTGAAATTTATCCCTTGGTGCAATTTTCTGTTTCCATGTTGCCCAGTTTAAGTGACCGGAAGCCAATAGAGAATGAAGATGAGATTATAGTTATGGTTGTACCTGATTATCAGATGTTGGGATCTGTGGAGAGAATTGCCTCGGAGCTCTCAGATGACCCGGTAATGGCCTGAACACTTCTATTATTTTCTAGAAGCAGTGTTCTTCATGCATATATCTTGGAACTAGGAATAAAATACTATGATCGATATTTATGATGACGAAACCTTCATGCTTGAAATATTAGCTAAAATGATTAAGGGCATGTTGTTTTCTTATGTTTAAGGAATTGATAAACTTCTTCCTGGACCTTTTTCTTCACTTTTACAGCATCTGAGAATGCTAAATATGAAACTTATTTACCAACAAAACAAAAGACTTAAAAACATATTTTTCTAATAGAAGAAAAGAGACAATGACATATCAATAAGTATTGTTTTCTAGATATATCATTTCATGTTCTCATGTTAACTCCAGCTAGCAGCACAATGATCCCATTAAGGTTAACAGACATTCAATAATTTCATTATATTCCATTCAGTCTTCACTCACACCTCAAGCTAGAGGGGATAATTTTCCTTACAGTCCTTCCTCATATATTGCTAGCCTAGGCCTCTCATCATGTGGAACCCACGTCTCATAAGCGAGGATGTTGGAGTAGGGGTTAATGTTCGCAAATTAAGGCGGTACTTTCTAAGGTATAAATCTCATATCTTTTTAATGAGATGAACGTTTTTGTTATCCTTGTTTATATCTTTTTTATTTTCTTTTTCCTCATGTGTGGTTTACAAACATGAATATCTTACACTAATGCAACAAGCCCTAGGAACTTTTCTATTTTGTAGAAAACTCACATAACTTGTTTATGAACTTAGATATACCAACTGCACAAGCGGCATACTTTATTCAATATGTTCTTGTGCTTTCCATTGCCTTTCTCATGCCCCCAAGTTAAATTGCATCTCTTTCTAAATACGTAGTATTCAGTTTGAATGACTAATTCATTTTTGCCTAGATGCCATCTGATCCCCAATTAGCCTCTCCAAGCAGATAAAAAATGTCATTATTTCATTGGAATCCAATTCTGTGTTTTTTTATCCTTTTCATTCCCATTATTTGCAGGTCATATTACCATAATCAACGCTTATCTCATTTTTTTCCTCTCATTTTTTCCTCTTATTTTTTCTGCAGCTCTTTCTCCACAGTTTACTCAATGCGACCCTTGGCATCTGGTGCTGTGTTTAGGTGTTATCCAGGGTAAGGGTGTTAGTTTGCCTTGACTTTTATTTTACTCCAATCCAAATCCCTCCTAGTCCTAGATCCCATTATATCATAGTTTATGGTAAGACTGGGCAGCAGGCATGGGCCATAACTCAAGGACTAAGTTCCACAAGTAAAACTGATTTATTGTTTCTCATGCTTATCTCTCTTCCTTTTCTGATCATATATTAGATTATGGAAGGTGTTTTATGATGATAAAGACAGGCGAGGTAGATACCTGCTTGCTAAAGAACTCATAAGCAAGCCTGATTCTGACGACCTTGAGGTTAGTTAGTTCTAGAAGCTTGAAAATTCTCTCCACAACAGATTGATATTTGGTACAGTGGTCCGTTTAAGTACTTGATGAATAGTTTATCTTAACTAGCCATGTTTGGTATTCTGAACTGCTTTGTCCAAATTACTCATTCCGAAGATATTCCAAAATCTTTGCAGATGATATTCGGAAATGAGGAGAACAAGGCAGAGCAGAACCCGACGTTCCTTAGCCAAGTGGTTGGCATCTTTTCTTCATTAAATCGATTTATGAAAGCCATTTCAAAGTAATGTTCCCTGTTCACAGCCTGTACATCTGTTTTGACAACAATGTATAAGGTTCTCTGCTATATCTAGTCGTGGGGTAATCTGCTTGCAGTTTGGTGTATAAAGTAATTTTTCATTCTACAACCTCAAGTCAAACCTTCTCATAGTCTGATATTTCTATGTGGTCTCTGGTTCCATGTTTTCAATATGATGATAAGTGATTTGGGACAACGTCCGGCCAACGAAATTCAAACCCCATGGAAATATAGAAAGCATAGGGCGATGGTACACTATGATTACAATGTATTAAGTATAGCTTTGGACTAAACCATCATAAGGACATTCGGTATGCTTCAAAATCAAAACAAAACATTTATATGTGCATCAAAAGTACATAAATCCTGCAGCAAAAGAGTGATGTATTCAGTTCTCCATATCCAAGGATTGAAAGGGCTTGAGGTAGGAAATAGAACTACTTAATTTATATTTCTTTAACTTGGTAACTTTAAAAGAAAAGAAGCATATATAACAAATACCATTTACGTGGTGTTATTAAACCAAAATAAATAAAAATTAGAGATCAGAGGTCAAAACAGGACGAGATCAGAGATCAATCAATAAATTAAAAACAAACAGAGAAGTATACTTTGTTTTCAAGAAGTTTCATTGACATCAACATTGGAGGTGGTAGATTCAATTCTAGACACAATGCCAAAAAGGCTAGAAAATGATACACCTGCCATCTTCTATGAGCCTACAGGGCCTAGAAGTATAAATTAGAGTCCCAAATTTGAAATTAAAGGATATCTTTGGTGATTATCCGTTTTAGTCTTGATCAATGTAATAGAGAATAAACCTCTTATCCGGCACATACCCTTCATCTAACATGAGCCCAAACAGCTCCAGCAAAACTCTATAAATTGCCTCAGCTTGTGGATGCTTTCTGTCTCCAACAACAAAGCTATGAACTTTCTTTTCAATCTCCATCCAACTTATACCTATTTCTTTCACCACACTCATTTCCTTCATTCTCTTGATAGTCCTAGCTCTGTCTTTCCATTCACCAGTAGAAGAATATATGTTGGCCATTAAAACATATGGCACTGGGCTCTCCGGTGCTGCTGAGTGCAACTGATCAGCTGCATATTTCCCCATTTCAGAATTGCCATGGAGGCTACAGGCACCAAGTAGGGCTTGCCAAATATGAACATCAGGCTTCATGGGCAATCCTTCAATAAAAGTCTTAGCTTCATTAAGGAGACTTGCCCGGCCTAACATGTCAACAACACAAGCATAGTGCTCTGTCCTCGGATATATTCTGTGAACTTCAGACATGGATCTCAAAAACTCCATGCCTTTTTCAATGAGGCCAACATGGCTACATGCATGGAGCAAAGAGAGAAACGTAACATCAGTTGCTTGTACGCCTTCTGATACCATCTCTTCATATAATTGTAGAGCATTAGAGCCATCCCCATGACGAGCAAAAGCTGCAATCATGGTGTTCCATGATATAGGGTTCCTTTGAGACATTCGATGGAAGACTTTGATTGCCTCCTCTAAATCTTTGCACTTGGAGTACATGTTGATGAGTCCATTGCTGACAAAGGGGTTAAAGTCGAATCTTCTTTTGATAATTAATGAGTGAAGTTGTTTACCCAACCCCAAAGAAGTATCCTCTCCAAATACCCCAAGAATGGCTGACACCATGTTTGGATCAATCTGGATTCCTTCCTTAAACATTTTGACAAAAAATTGTATAGCTTCATCCTTAAATCCATTTTGTGCAAAACTCAGAAGGATTACAGTCATGGAAACCTCATCAAGCTCTTGAGCAGAATCAAAAATCTGCCACGCATCTTTAACATTTCCACATTTTGAATACATATCCATGAGTGCACTCTCGATGCACAAGTCAGATTGAATCCCCAGTTTCCACAGAAGGCCATGAATTTGTCGTCCTTCCTGAAGTGCTTGCAGACCAGAACATGCCACCAGCGAGCTCAAATAAGTCAAAGTATTTGGAGCCACTGATCCTAAACGCATCTTGACAAACAATTTCAAACTGTCCTCGTATAAATGATTTTGAGCTAGACCCGAGATTACTGCTGTCCAAGTAATAACATTTCTTTCAAACATCTCATCAAAAACCTGTCTCCCTGCACTCAAACACCCACATTTAAAGTATGATGTTATCAAAGCATTTCCCACACTTATTTCCCTTTCATATCCATTCAAAACCGCTAAGCAATGTATCATCCTGTTGACGTAATAAAACTCTTCTCTATCGCAAGCGGAAAAAATTGTTGTAAGAGTTGCTTGATCCAACCCATAAAGCTCTGAGCTTTGCATTCTTTTGAAGTAGCTAAAACATCCCTCAAGATCCCCATTCCTCAAAAAACCAGATAGCAGTGTATTCCATGAAATGGTATCTCTCATAGGCATTTCATCGAACAACTTAAGTGCATCTGTTTGATCCCCACATTTTGCATACACACAAAGGAGAGAGTTCCATATGAAAAGGCCATCGTTGAAATCATCAGGATTCTTAGGGTGAAGAAATTCATGGTTTTTGAGAAAGGAGGCATGGAGAGAGGAACCCAGACGGATAAAGCCTTCTCTTCCGCAAATTGATAAAAGGATGATTACCCCTACACGGTTGAGGATAAATGTCGAGTTTTCTGAAGTTGGGTATTGGTAGATATGTTGGGTTTTGAAGAGCGAGGAAAGCCATGAGGGAATTTGGGGAGTTAGTTTCTGAAATGCCCATGTGGGTTTCATCCATGAACAAGAGAAAGATCCCAGGACATTTGCTTAGTTCTGGGACGGAAGATCGGTTAAGAAATTTTTTTTTTAAAAAAAAAATTTTAATCTAAAAATTTTAATTTAAAATCTTATACTTGAAGGTCCGGCAGCTATAATTTATTTATTTAAAGAATTGAGAAAAATTATATTATGATAATTAAAATAATAATAATAATATTATTATTAAAATATTATTAATAAAAAGATTTACTTAGATTATTTATAAAAAAAATTTGTTTCTTTTACATTTTGTCTTTGTTTGAATACCCCACTCTTTAAAAAATTTAGCCGTATTTTGCTTCTTAATTTTTTTCCTAACAATTTACCCTTTTCTTTCCTTAAACTTGGTTCTCAACTCAACCCTTATCTAATTGTAAGGTTAATTATAGTTTGCATCGATAAATGGTGTTGCAGCTTGAACCGCTTAATTTAGAGCTTTGGATGGAAGTATAAACTTACGGTCTCATACTGTGAAGGAAGGCCCTGAAAGAGGTGAAATTTGATAATTTTTTTAACATAAAAAATTTGCTACACTTTTAACTTGTCTTTCTTTTTTGGCTCTCTTGTGGCTCTCTCGAAGAGATTATGATTTTAATCTCTTTCGCTTAATTAATGAATCTCTTGGTTCATTAGAAAAATGTAAAATCAATTTTGTAGATGGGTCAATGCCGATAAAAAAAAAAAAAAATTGTAGATGGGTAAATGCTGATATTAATTTTTTGTTTTTGGTTTTTTTTTTTTTTTTGTAGATGGAGAAATGGCTGAACGGGCGGGTAACTTTTTAATGTATTCATCTTTTTTCAATCTTGCAAATGGCATTCATGCAATTACTAGCTAACTTCTAGATTACTAATTAACATTTGTTGTTCTAATTTATAATTTTTTATTAAATTAAAATACGAATAAATAATATTTATTCTTCCATTTTAAAAAAATAAGTATATCCTTTAATTTTTTTTACTAATGTAAAAGAAAAACTAAACCTTAAGGATTAACAGTTCTTGGCTTCCTATGAAAATTTCTCAACTGCAATTTATTTTTATAATTTAACCAAAAAAAAATCACTACCATCAACTAAATAAACTTTAGTTACTAATAAAGTTAATTACTCATAATGGGAGGTAATTAATTACAAAATAGAGTGCAAACTGCACATGATTTTTTTTTAAAGATATTCTTGTGAGAGGTTGTGCTGATTTACTTCTTAAAGATAAAAAATACTGAGGTACTATAATACTTTTTGAGTTGAATATCCTGATGAGGTACACTTCTTTTTGATTATTTCCTCTATCAGTTTAGCATTTTGCTTTTATTGCATATAGAATTAACGAAATGGCTGAAACTACTTGAATATGTGAATTATATGAATTTTTTTAATACATTTTACAATTAATTGCTTGATATTATAAAAATTTAAACATTTAATTTTGATCCAAAATTAAAAATTTTAAATTAACATATACTACTTAGCCAAGTTCCCATTATTCGTTATCATATGAATTTTTTATGGTTCTTGGAACTTAATAGAAATTCTTTGGTGGTTTGCCATATTTGAGAAAATATCAATTATGGCATTGAGAAAGGTTCTGCTTATATATTTTTTAAAAAAAAAAAAAAAAAATTCAAACTATTGTAGAGATGAAAGACAAATAAAACAAAAAGTGAGCAAAAAATAGATTGGGTTGAGCTGTGCAGTTTGCTGTGTGATTGAAATTTTCTTTTGTTTATAATCTCGGCTAATTTTTGGCAATTAAAAGATATTAGTCTCATAATTCAAATTTTTATCAAAATGAAAATATATTTTAATTATGTAATGAATAAATTAAAATTTAATTTCTAATATCTTCATGTAAAAAATCTATCTACTTTTCAAGCTCCATCCCTTGCTTTCAAATGTCCAACAATTCTGCGTATCCTATGGGGCAAAATTGAAAATTCATTTTAAAAAAAAGTGTTCGTAAAGAATTTAATTAATGCAAAGTGCCACAAAGTGTAGGATAGACTGGTACTGAGACATCAATCTTATCCGACAACCCACCGACTAAGAATTAGATTTTTTTGTTTTTTTTTTTTATAATAGCCAACAAGGAATTAATTGCCCAAGTACTACTACATTTGTCTTTGCCTAGCCCTATTCACTTACATGACCCATTCGACACGCCTTCCATTAATTTGCCTAGACCTAACATGATTTTTCCACGCCCCAATGCATACGCCTACATGAACTTTCCATTTTCCTTCGTTTTCAAATGTTGGTTTCTTTGAATTCTTGACTTTTAGCTTGTATCTACAGATAAAGGAAGATGGGAGGTTGGGATGGTGACTCAT